CGATTTGACCCCTAAACCCGCAAAAAAATATTACTCATATATTGTAGTTCTCGTTCTCAATAAACCCCGCACAAAATATTACTCGTATATTGTATTTCTCGTTCTCAATAAACCCCGCACAAAATATTACTCATATATTGTAGTTCTCGTTCTCAATAAACCCCGCACAAAATATTACTCATATATTGTATTTCTCGTTCTCAATAAACCCCGCACAAAATATTACTTATATATTGTAGTTCTCGTTCTCAATAAACCCCGCACAAAATATTACTCAGATATTGTATTTCTCGTTCTCAATAAACCCCGCACAAAATATTACTCATAAAAATATTACTCATATATTGTATTTCTCGTTCTCAATAAACCCCGCACAAAATATTACTCATATATTGTATTTCTCGTTCTCAATACTACTCGAATAATTACGTCATTTTAATGACTGCGTATCCCCGTATCATTGAAATATAATAGTTACCACTTCTCCTTTTAAACTACTGTACTCGAATAATTATACGTCGTTTTAATGACTGCGTATCACCCCGCACAAAATATTACTCATATATTGTATTTCTCGTTCTCAATACTACTCGAATAATTACGTCATTTTAATGACTGCGTATCCCCGTATCATTGAAATATAATAGTTACCACTTCTCCTTTTAAACTACTGTACTCGAATAATTATACGTCGTTTTAATGACTGCGTATCCCCGTATCATTGAAAAATAATAGTTACCCATTCTCCTTTTAATTATTAAACTACCCCGCACAAAATATTACTCATATATTGTAGTTCTCGTTGTCAATAAACCCCGCACAAAATATTACTCATAGATTGTATTTCTCGTTCTCAATAAACCCCGCACAAAATATTACTCATTAGTAAAAATTTTCAGCATATCAAATGAGCACGATTTGACCCCTAAACCCGCAAAAAAATATTACTCATATATTGTAGTTCTCGTTCTCAATAAACCCCGCACAAAATATTACTCGTATATTGTATTTCCCGTTCTCAATAAACCCCGCACAAAATATTACTCATATATTGAAAAATAATAGTTACCCATTCTCCTTTTAATTATTAAACTACTTGAATAATTACGTCGTCTTCATCACTGCGTATCCCCGTATCATTGAAATATAATAGTTACCACTTCTCCTTTTAAACTACTGTACTCGAATAATTATACGTCGTTTTAATGACTGCGTATCCCCGTATCATTGAAAAATAATAGTTACCCATTCTCCTTTTAAACTACTTGAATAATTACGTCGTTTTAATGACTGCGTATCCCCGTATCATTGAAAAATAATAGTTACCCATTCTCCTTTTAAACTACTCGAATAATTACGTCATTTTAATGACTTCGTATCCCCGTATCATTGAAATATAATAGTTACCACTTCTCCTTTTAATACTCGAATAATTACGTCATTTTAATGACTGCGTATCCCCGTATCATTGAAAAATAATAGTTACCCATTCTCCTTTTAAACTACTCGAATAATTACGTCGTTTTCATAACTCCGTATCCCCGTATCATTGAAATATAATAGTTACCACTTCTCCTTTTAATACTCGAATAATTACGTCATTTTAATGACTGCGTATCCCCGTATCATTGAAAAATAATAGTTACCCATTCTCCTTTTAAACTACTACTCGAATAATTACGTCATTTTAATGACTGCGTATCCCCGTATCATTGAAAAATAATAGTTACCCATTCTCCTCTTAAACTACTCGAATAATTACGTCATTTTAATGACTGCGTATCCCCGTATCCCCGTATCACTAAAAAATAATAAGTTACCCATTCTCCTTTTAAACTACTCAAATAATTACGTCATTTTACTGACTGCGTATCCCCGTATCATTGAAAAATAATAGTTACCCATTCTCCTCTTAAACTACTCGAATAATTACGTCATTTTAATGACTGCGTATCCCCGTATCCCCCAAAAGCAAACACTATCAAAATTCAAAAGTGGCCGGGTATTCTATAATCGCTCCCCGTTGGGAATTTGACAATGGGTTTCGCCCGCACCGTCGGAAATTTGACCGTATTTTTTTTGAAAAGTCAAATTCCCGGGGGTGAATGATCGCAGTTGGGTGTTGGAGCATCAATTTCCCGTTTGTAATACAAAATGACTGAAAATTGCAAATTTCGCAAGGCTATATTATCCGTATTTTACAACATTTCGCAACGAAACTTTGGAATATTACTAATTTTGTAATGCTCTAGCTTTCGAGCTGTGATGAAATTTTTGTCTAGATCAAAATTTAGTCTATAATGCATTTTAATGGTAAAATATGATATCTTATATTTATCATATCGTGCTCTTGTTCCATTCTTTAATGCTAAACATACTGTCTATCATATTTAAATGTAAAATCTTGCTGCTTAACTTTACAATTTTACAACTAATTTTGAATGCAAACGTTGAATAATAAAACAATTTAGTTGTAATATGAGTGTGTATCCTCTGGCAGATGTGTTACCCCCAATTAATGCATCCCTGATTGCTGTCAAAGCAGATGACTGCATAGCCAACTAAGTCCTGTATTGCCTATTCACTGCATAGCCACTTGAATGCTTTGCTGCTTAACTTATTCAGACGCAGCGATCTCCCCTTGATGACAGTGAAATAATAAGTCGTGCGCATTGGGGCGCAATGCAAATTATCGGTTAACTGGGCAAAGCAAGATGATTGCGCATACAGTTTTCTGCGTATAGCCACTGAAACCAGTTTTGTGGTAGTGTAATCTGCAATACTCCACAATTGTTGTGAATGTGATGTATAAGAAAATTCTGTATTTTTCCATTCTAGCCATCTAGCAAAACATAAAAAATGAGACACACTGGCACTGGAGACAAGCCTCACGAATGTGTTGTTTGTAAGAAAAGATTTAAACAATCTGGTCATCTGGTGAGACATAAGAGAACACACACTGGACACAGACCTTATGAATGTGATGTTTGTATGAAACAGTTTACAACTTGTAGCCATCTAGCAAGACATAAATTGATACACATTGGACACAAGCCTCATGAGTGTGATACTTGTAAGAAACGATTTAGAGATCCTGGCTATCTTAAAATACATAAAAGGATACATACTGGGGAGAAACCTTATGAATGTGATGTTTGTATGAAACAATTTTCAAGTTCTGGGCATCTAGCAAGACATAAATTGATACACACTGGACACAGGCCTCATGAATGTGATACTTGTAAGAAACGATTTACATATCCTAGCTATCTTAAAATACATGAAAGGACACATACCGGAGACAAGCCTTATGAATGTGATGTTTGTAAAAAAAAATTCAATCACTCTAGTCATCTGGCGAAACATAAAAAAACGCATACAGTGCAAGAGAAGCCTTTTCAATGTGATGTTTGTAAAACGAGATTTAGAGACTCCAGTAGTTTGTTGACCCATAAACGAGTACACACAGGAGAAAAACCTTATGAATGTGCCATTTGTAAACAAAGATTCAAACAATCTGGCAATCTAGCTTCACATGAAAGAACACACACTGGGAACAAACCTTATGAATGTGATATTTGTATGAAACAATTTTCAACTTCTAGCCATCTAGCAAGACATAAATTGATACACACTGGACACAGGCCTCATGAATGTGATGCTTGCAAGAAACGATTTACATATCCTAGCTATCTTAAAATACATGAAAGGACACATACCGGAGAGAAGCCTTACGAATGTGATGTTTGTAAAAAAAGATTTAATCACTCTAGTCATCCGACAAGACATAAAAAAACGCATACAGTGCAAGAGAAGCCTTATCAATGTGATGTTTGTAAGCAGAGATTTAGAGACTCGAGTAGTTTGGTGAAGCACGGACGGGTACACACTGGAGACAAACCTTATGAATGTGATATTTGTAAGAAAAGGTTCAAACACTCTGGTAATCTAAATTCACATAAGAGAACACACACTGGAGACAAACCTTATGAATGTGATGTTTGCAAGATGAGATTTTCTCGGTCTGACCATCGAACAACACATAAAAGAAGACACACTGGGAATAAACCTTACAAATGTGACGTCTGCGAGAAACGATTTTATGAATCGGGCGGTTTAGCAGTCCACACAAGGATACATACGGGGGCTAAAGATTATGAATGTGATGTTTGTTTGAAACGATTTAGACATTCAAAAACCTTGCGAATACATATCCGGACACACACAGGAGAAACACCTTATGAATGTAATATATGTAACAAAAGATTTTCACAATCGGGCCACCTAGCACGACATAAAAGAACACATACTGGGTACAGACCTCATGAATGTGATGTCTGCCAGAAACGATTTGCACAAAAAAATTGTCTTAATTACCATGAAAAGCAACATTTGTTGTGCGACACTTGCCACAGAGAGATTGTTCAACCCCAAGATTTGCAAGAGCATTTTGTTAAGGATATACCAGCACTGGAAAGTCTTTTTGCAGTAAATGTAGCAAAGAGTTTCCTGGTAGTTTTGTGAAATTCGTACAACATATAGCAATGGAACATAGGAATGATGGAAAGTATCAATGTGTTTTTTGTCAAGAACTTGAATCAACAGAACCAACTGGTGTTGGATATGCTTGTTGTGCCTGTGATGCTGTGTTTGATGTTCCCAGAGAACTTGAAGAACACATGGTCACTCATGACATGATGCAGATTGAATAAGTTTCAGCTTTCTATGAATTTTGTATTTTAGTGAATAATGTTGATTAGATCTGGAAAGCCTATTATTCCATTGATAAGGGCGCAGAATCATAACAGAGTCATTCGCTTAATGACAAAAGTGTGAAAATTGGCCGGATTTTTCTGATATGGTACCTGTGAATAATCCGTCCAGACAGTCCAAAATTTTGTTTCTCCACAATGTGCATAATAATGGACGTCTTGTTGCCATGGTTACGTCAAGAATGACGATTGTGTGTTAAAATTAGTCTTTGATATACGCGAGGAGACAAACGATTATGGAAAAAAGAGCTTTTTCAGCATGTAACCTGTTAAAGAGCTTTTAGTTGAAAACATGAATATATAAGGGTGGACATTAAAAATTGCCCCCCCCCCCATAAAAATGGTATATCTCGTTCTTTGTTACTGCAAGGAAAGATATTCTTAACGAAGTTTGTGTTTTTAAACTTGTTTAGTTTTCTTTATGTGTGAATAAAAATCGACAAGGTTTGGACCATATTTTAACAATGGAAATCAAAACCCATTTTGTATTGAACTTGCCCAGACCGAAAATTACTTCGGCAAACGTCTGCGCAACCAGGCCTCCTAAATTCGTTGGGATTTACGGGGGGAGGGTTACATTAATTCGAAATATGATCGTTATATAAAAGGATACTTTGAAATATGATATATAGACATCATAAATTGTTTTAAATACATTTCTTATTATAACATACACGGCAATATGTTGTTTCCCATCGCACAGCATGCAAATACCAAAAAGCAGGAAGTGGGCAGGCGGCGTCCTCCTCCCCCCCCCCCCCTTAATTCCGAACGGTTTTAGAAGGCCTGGTTGCGCAGGCGTGCGCCGTAGTAATTTTCGGTCTAGGTTTTGATTTCCAATGTGAAAATATGGTCCAAAACTCATACATCTCGCCGAAGTACCTCCGATTTTCGAAGAACGGCATTTGTTGTACACGCTGGCGAATTTTTTTGGAGAATAAAGTGATTTGAGTGTAAGAATTTTCGATTCGAAGTGCCGTGCCCATAGATGTCCAATACCTATGGAAAAATCAAAAGGCCATTGGACATTCCATTTGTCAAATGTTTCAAATGGACCTCCAATTTTCCATTGGACTTTTGCGTGTCCATTGGATCCAATGGACAAATGGAATGTCCATTGGCCAGCAATGGATCAATCGGAACTGTGCATCAACCGAATAAGAGACCATGTGAAGGTTGCCGATCGGAACAATACATCAACCGGATAAGAGCTTTTTCGCGTTTTTACCATTACGTAATTAACAGGTTGCATGCAAGACCCCATGTGGACATGATTATGAAACCAGAGAGATGTTCCAATGGATCCAATGGATAAATTATTGTCCAATGGAATTTTACCTGTCCATTGGATCCAATGGACAAAATCTGCTGTCCATTGGAAAATTACCTGTCAATTGGATCCAATGGCAAAATAATATCCAAGTCAATAGACATTTCTTATATCAATAAATATAGTAATATGTTGTTGCTTCGTTCTCAAGGACCACGTATATAACACGGGAATGGGGAGATCCTTATATCACTAATATAATATGTTGTTGCTTCGTTCTCAACAGACACGCACTAAAATATAATGCAGTTGCCTCGTTTTCAACAAACCACGCAATATATCATATATCAGTATAATAATAATTATGTCGTTGTTCCTTTCTTAAGAAACCTAGCTACACGCAATATATCAATATAATATGTTGTTAGTAACGTCGAGTACAAAATCTCGGAAAATATTATACAAGGAGAATAAAATATTATACAAGGAGAACACAAACTATCAAATAGGCAAGTCAATTTCATTTTAAAATTTATATTTTACGACATATCTTTACTATAATATGCATTACTATAATATACATTTATACTATAAGTCTATACTGACCCTTGCGAGATTGGGCCGCCTGTGGTCTAACTTAAAGGATTTATTTAATACTGAGATGCGGAACTGTAACGAAAGAGAGAGATCTTTTGGTTTCTGAAATATCGCAAACTACAAACGGAACAAACCTTGCATGTAAACAATGCTACTCGATTTATTTCGGACTGTTATTAAATGAGCCCTGTGAAATTTCCAAATTCCAACTTACCATTGACTTCGCTGAAACTTGATGCTCAAGAAATATGTAGAATATACCTCTGTTATCAAACCTACGGTAAAATAATCCGACAAAAGCCTACTGAAAGATAAGTCAAAGCGTGAATTTTACAAATACTGTATATATGTGACTGTATATTTGTAACATATGTTTGACATAAGAGAATACA